AATGTGTGTTCAAATGAATATTATAGATTTTATTTTTAAAGTAATCTTATGTATTTTCATTTTAACCTATTTGGGTGTAAACTCATCATTCTCCTTGCTAGTTTCGCTTCTAGCTCTAATATCGAGGATCAGAAGGGAAGGCGAACGGAATTGCAAAGCAAGTTCTCTCATGGTGATCGCTAAGTGGTTTAGCAGAGATTTAACTCGGGCTTCGACTTCGCTTCGTTCGCTTCGAGAACGATAGCTATTTCAAAGATTAACATTGGCCTGATCAAAATTTACTGGACCAATGTTGGTATTAGCTATTTCCAATGCATCTTCATAAAACTAAGGACGCGTTCACATCTTGATAGAAGAGCAGAAAGCAGAAAAGCAACAATCAATCAGAACTTTGATAGTAAGCAGTACAGAAAACCGAAATTGTCTTCTACCAGCGCGAGTTCAGATGGTCAAGGTGTCAAGATGTGAACGCGCCCTAACATTTCCCCGTAGTTTCCCTATCGAACAGTACAAGGCCTCCATAACGAGACACTTCTTCCAAAAAATCACTTTACTATTCTGTCTTATTGTTTTGTAGAATATTTGTAGTATAAGGGTCGCAACTAGTTCCTTAATTATAGAAAACTATATCTTATTTTTCAAACTAACATTTCATTATCAAGAGTAGCGTATTGGGATTTTAACTAAGATTATAGACAAAGATAATCTTTTTATGTTCTTAACCTATTTGGGTGTAAAATTAATTTAAATAAATGGAAAAAATAAAATAAATTTTATTTTATGCATATCAATATTATAATTCTTAGAATAAATATATTATAAATATCTTTGGAGAAATAAAAAATGTAAAAATAATTAAAAGGAATTTTCATATAAAAAAACTGTTCTCAGAATTATTCAGATTTGTTGTAATATAAGATGAGGTTGCAATAGAAATATGCGAGAATATAGATTTAATTTTATAATATATTTAATAATATATAATTTCATGTTTAATATAAAAATTTTTTTCAATTTATGATTAAACATATTTACATTTTCATATTTTAGTTTGAGATTTTATCATAAAATTTTTATAGGACGTAAACCGTTGTGCAATATACATGTGTTTGACAATATCATAAATAATTTTCGACACAGACGGATACTATGACTTATAGTTACTCGGGCATATTTCTCCTGTCGCACATTACCGTTGCATATGCGATGTTATGAGCATCTGTCATATGCAATAAATATCTGCATATTCCAAGTTAAGTTACATCATATATACAGAAAAAGTTATATCAGAAACATTTTATCAAAGAAAGAAGAGAAAGAGAGAAAGAGAGAGAGAGAGAGAGAGAGAGAGAAAGAAATATTGATTTTATGGATATAATCTTAAATCTTAAGCACTAATAGCAATGTTGATAAATTTATCTAGTAAATAAAGGAAAGCAATTAGCTTTTTCTCAGAATGTATTATAATTATACGTATAAGTCACTCATTTTAAGAAATCTAGAAAAATCAATATTAGATATAAGAATCGTATGTTATGTTTGACACAACTATCTTATAGATAGTATCTCAGAATATATTTTTTCTTAAAAAATTATATATCACGCTAACACTTAAGTTAGGAATATACTTCATTGTCAAAATAAATATAATTTTAAAACTATAAATAATTAGAAATTGTTGTTAAAAAACTTCAGTTTTAAAAATAAAAATAAATACAATGAAAAAATAACGGCAAATTACAAATGAGCATTGGGAGTCAGCACTGGACATTATATTGCTAACTAATACCTATTAATGTGTCACAAATTCAATTTTGTACGTTTCGGCTCACTATTTGAGCCATCCTCAGCAATAAAAAATTACCGCTTATCGCACTATAAAATCTGTCGAACTTCATCTTGCACAGTCGTAGTTCCGACCTCCAATAATGCAGACGCAGTGGAAATGTGGTGAGAGACAACCATCTTCAACATAGTCTAATGTTGACCGATATGCTTTGTTCGCGCGACACATCTCTTTTTATATTCAACGGATATTATGTGATTAACATCAGAACGAACATGGCTCTCTTTTACTTAAATTATTTTTTAATCTAACTTTGACATCGTGATTTTTAAATTTGTTGTAATTGATTGACGATGCTTGGATCCGCTTGCGATCGTTGTTGGAGATGTGGTAAGTTTCTGGCTAATATACATTAATTACGCAAATTAATATCCATCTATTCAAAAATTGCTCGGTGCAATTATTAGCTTGAGTTCCACTATCTGCTCCACTCAGCTAAGCAACTGGTTGGCACAACATTAGACTATGTTGAAGATGGTTGTCTCTCGCCACATTTCCTGCATTATTGGAGGTCGGAACTACGATTGTGCGACGCAGTTCGACAGATTTTATAGTGCGATAAGCGGTAATTTTTTATTGCTGAGGATGGCTCAAATAGTGAGCCAAAACGTACAAAATTGAATTTGTGATATATTAATAGGTATTAGTTAGCAATATAATATCCAGCGCTGACGCCCATTTGTATTTTGCCGTTATATTTTCATTTTATTAATTTAAGAAGTCTATACATTTTGTATATTTCTTTACTTGAATTTGTTTAAAAATAAATAGAATAATTTTTTAATTATTAATTAAATATAATTAATGCCATCGGAATTTATTTCGACAATATCTAGTATTTTTATCTAGAAGTAATTAATATAAAATAAATATTGTTTAATTTTAAAACGTACCAAAAGAATTATTTTGAAATTTCTGCTAAATATTACATAAACTGCTTATTTCTCCAAGCAATCTGTAGAAAATGCACGGTTTCTGGAATAGCTTATATCGTTCACATATCGCATAAAGCAAATTCTCTTTATAGGATCTCGGATTCTGTCCCTTCAGGTTCTACCATCTCAATGAATTATGCTTGCCTCCGTAACACACATAAATTATAGACGTTTCATGTGCTTGATAGAAGTCAAACTTCGTATTATCGATTTAATAACAGTTGTTTCAATTATATTTTCCTACAGTTACAACAACAACAAGAGTGAAATGGTGAAAGCAGACCATTATCAATATCCTGAGAAGTTCTGTCGCTGAATATCATGTCGTGAGGCATTAAATGGGCACCTGTCACCGCACATTTAGATGTGACACGTCATTGTGTGCGTTAAGAAAGGATACATGCGCTTTGCATGCAATAGCAGAGATTCACGACAAACTGAACTGCATGCTGACGAAGATTCTAAAATTGGCAAACAGCAGTAATGAACAGCGCCGTTGATACTCCTTATAAATATAAGCATTTTATTTGCATTGAATGTCTGATATCTTAATTTAGCTCATTTGTCGGTTGTGTGTTAATTTTAGTTTAATTTTATTATTGGTATATATATATAAATATTGTAACTTTTTAATTTCGGATATATACGTGAATATTTTAAAAACCGCACAGATTTTTAAAGCTACAATTCCTAGCATTACACAGCTGATAAAATTTTGAACAAAAACAAAAAGCTTTTAAACGATCTTTGTAATGCTTTTCCATGCAATCAATATCCCGTAACAATATCTTGCTGCTTATCGATGGTTTCTCGATAAGCAAAGCTTTCTTTTGTTTGTAGCTGATACACTTTTATTTTTTAACTGGAATCTATTCGAGCAGAGATATTACTAACGCGCGTCTGCCAAGATCGCATTTACGTCGAAGTGAATTGCGGAAATAAGATACGCTGATTTCCTGGGAAACATCATCAGATTAAATATTTATGATATTTCACATTTTAGTCCTTAAAAATTTCGCCATTATATTATTTGCAGGTAAGAACGCTATAAAAATATTAAGATTTTTATTTACATTTCAGTGTGATAGATTTCGAATTATCATCAAAAGTTCATAAAGTTTTCAAGAAGGCTATGACCTCTTAATTATATAGATAAGGAAGTAAATTTATCTCGCGGATGACATTTATTACCTCAAGTCATAAATATATACTACGCGGTAGGGGAAATTTTCAGAAATAAATTTCATGTTAGTCATACACTATCGGACATCTTGCATGAACTTATTCGAAAAAGATGATGATTGCAAATCAATATCAACACAATCTATGTTAATATATTAAGTAGAAGTATCGTTGATGCACGTATCATGACAAAATAGGGAACAAGTAATGTAATCTCGTATTCGTCACAGTAGGCAGCAAACGAGAGACAAAACGCCCGCGCTAAATACACCCCACATACACATTATCCCTATCCACTTTCTAGTTTCCCAACTAAAATGGAGAGGAACTGTCCCAACATCCTATTTCCCTCTGAATCTCTCAGCGATGCAACTAACAAAAATGAGATAGTTAAATTTTTTTACTGTGTAACGTGATCTTATATTAAACTGAAGGGTAGTCTAGGGAAGGATAAGAGTTTAATTGTATTTTAACTATCTCTGAATTAATTCGTTAAAGACGACGCAAACTGTTCCTGCGCGCAACAGATACGAGAAATTTACGATGTTAAAACACGGACAAAAGATGACAGATTTCTCGAATTTTTATTGCGTAAGTATTTAAACCGTTGTTTTTGATAAATTTAAGTAGAATTAAATAAATTTAATATTAATTTTTATATCTAATACACTCTGCGTTGTATAAAACACATTTAAAGTATTATACTTTATATTTTGAGATTTAAATGTTTTTATTGTGACAATTGAACAACTTCTTGTTAATTAACTACTGAATAAGATTACACATACAATATCTAGTGAACGTAATAATTCATTCATAATGCAGCAACGAAAAATTGTCTCATTCCATCGTTAAATAGTAATTTCAACAAATCGATATCCACAGCAACAACAAATGATAATAACATAAAAAGAAGAGCCATTCGCCGAGCAGTAACAAAAAAAATAACGATATCATCCACCATGAAAGAACGAAAGAAGGAATATCAGCGCGTAAAACACAACAGCTATAGACAGCTTCGTCCAATTAGAGTTTACCAATCAGATAGTCGCATATCCGCTATCGAACACCGAAAAGCGATCGCGTTCCATCTCCGTCGACAATCCCACTATTTAGCAACGCAAAAGATAACATCACCATAAGAGTCGCGTTCACTAGTAAATAGTTAAATAACACATATAGGACACAATCACATGCCGCGCAGAAGAGGGGTTTAGCGGAGAGCAATCCCATATATATAGGACTACCACCCCCTACGTCCACGCAACAACAGGCAGAACTACTGCCGTTCGCAATACTGTCGTTCTTTCTTTATGTCAACGTACGCTGATCGTCCCGAAGAAGCAACGTCGTTGCTGGCGTCGACGAAGCTGCTTGATTTATCGCGGTTGGCGGGAGAGAAAAGGGACGAAAAAGAGGAGCTCTTCTTGTTCGCTCGCCCTCCCTTTGTCTCTTTCGCTCTTAGTCGAGGCCGGGGAGCATCATGATGGGGATATCGTTCTCAAAGAGAGGATGGTTCGTAACGACGTATAACAACGACCGCGGCGCCGGTACCGCGGGTCAGACTGAAATCCGCGCGAGCGGTACTCAGCACACTCAGCGACTCAGCCTCTTATAGGAAACGTTGGGGCGCAAGCGCTACCGGTGGGGGTTACTGGTTGCCCGAGAGGGATGGGCCACGTTTCAAAAAGAGAAGCTCCCGTCGATCCACCCCCGCACGGATCGATCGACTTTTCATCGACGCCCGTCGAAATACGAGCAACGACGGAACGTCGTCATCATCGTCTCTTCTTCGTAGTTCAATTAATCCACAACCGAGTTAAATGATAAAACATAATCAGTGTTATGTAACATGAAGGATAAAAAAATTGTAGAGAACGCGAGTAACCATGGACTAGAGTGTAATTAGCCTATATAGACTAAAAAGAGAAAACGTTGTAGCGAACATTACGTTAATAAAGAGTACGTTCAATAGAAACTAATGTTTGCTCTTTCCTAAAAAAAAAAAAGTCCATTTCTTGCCCAGCCTTTCAAGTTTAATTTTCCACAAAAGAGACTTGATATGTCCTATATTATATAAAAATATTCGAATTTTTTTTACATTAGTCGGACAATAAAATAAAGCAGAGTATATCAAGTTTTATTGAAATAATTTATCATTTTTTTCTGCAAGTGTGGTTTCCAGAAAAATATATAATGAATTTCTAATATTGTTTTTTGATTTTATATTATATAAATATCAAATATATACAGTTAACGTATTATATGTATCAAACACATTCAAATGCACATGCGAGCGCAGTTTAGATAAAACTGAATGAATTAACTTGAGTTAATTCATTTAGTTTTATCTAAACTCGCCCAGTTACTGTACATAATTTGTATATATAACTTTCAAATATTATAGATATTTATATTTATAAAATTTAATTACTACTACATATAGATACATATCTATTGTTTTTGGAGAAATTTTTTAATATGTCTTAATTATCAAGAATGTTTTTTCAGAAATTTTTATATTATTATAATTTAATTTTTCATCATAAAAACGAGCAAAAAGTATTGACTTACAATTGGCAGTAAATATTAACGAATATTTCTTAAATGTACGTACAACAATTAACGACGGTTAGATAAGTAATTTAATGGCCAACACACTGAATAAGTAATTTAACACGCGTAAACTAAATTAGTTAAGGATGTAGTGAATGTATCTTGTGCAGTATATACAATGAACAATACGTGTGTACATATGAAATTAGATTACTCGTTTATACAATCGATCGAATAGATAAAATGCAGTTATACAGCAAGTTAATTAATGTTTACAATGTTAAATATCATAATAACATATGTTTTCTTATATATTTAATCATTGGCTGCGTTCAGCGAACTCAACAGTTGAGTGAGCGTTCGCTATTATTGGTGTATTCTTTTAGATCATCCAATCAGCATTTTAGATCTGGAAGAATACATCAGTAGCAGCGAACGCTCACTCAACTGTTGAGTCCGTTGAACGCAGTCAATATATACGCATAGAAAAAAAAAAACTTTTTACTATTTATTTCCACATTTTCGTACTATAAATATATCGTATACTATAAATATATCGTATTGTAAATAATGTAAATTCGTTCGATGCATATACTGAACTTTATAAATATCATTTCACGATTGTTTATCTGTATAGTAAAATAAATAAACTTGATAGTAATAAATTTAAAAACATAGCCGTTGATTGATTCTGAGAGCCTCTGTTAAATCAAATTTATAAATTTAAAAAATCTTGAAACACTGCAGCAAAACGCAAAATATTTTGTTAATAGTAAAACTGATGTAAAAAATATACTAAATCAAAATCTAAAATACGGATTTATATAATATTATATTTATTATTATATTTACATTTAATATTATATTTATATAATATTATATAATTATTAATGTATGTTTACATAATAATTTTATGCTATCGCATTATATTTTACCAATATAATCAGAGCATCTAAAATGTAAGTGTGTATACGTATATTTCACATACATATATACGCACATATATTTAAAATAACGTATTTTATCCTTGTAAAATGTTTCATCGCTGTAAAATTGAATAACTAATTCAGTTGGCTTTAAAACAGCTGTTTTCACAAGAAAATATTAGTTGAACATAGAAAATTTATTCTGATTTGTTAGATTTATGTGCACAACCTAAATACCTTCATAGAAGATACCCATTTGGCGTAAAGGAGCTATAATGCAGAGAATTAGTAAGTAATATGTAATATAATTCTCTTCATTCCTATCTCTGCGAAACCTTTATAAATGCTCGAAGAATTTAACGCAAGTCAATTAAATTAGCCTTCATTACTTTAAAGGGATGTAAGAAATTGCAGATGGCCTTCTCTTTCTAAAATAAATTCCCTAATTTTACGATTAATTTTCTGTTAATATCTTTATTTTATAATGATATATGATTATACGATTTTTGTAAATAAGCAGAAAATTCGACAATTTATTTTATTTTAGCAAAAGTTTAATTAATGTAGAAAATGTGCGCGAAAACGCTCAAAAAAGATAATCTCTAAAAATGTTTTAACAGTTAAATTATAATTGCTTTTTAAAATTTTTGAACAAATTATAAAATAACGAATTAATATTAAATTAATTTGCGAATTTGTTGATATTTACATTTTAGATACGAGAGACGCGCTAGAAAGCTTTAATAAAACTTGAATTCGGCACAAATAATTTAATTATTATTTGTATTGTGAATAATGCAAACGTATGTCTTATTTAACAAACGAAATATATAGATGTGTACATACATGTAAAATGATAAATCATTTATAATTATACGAAGAGTTCACGTTTGCTTCAGGTGTCCATTATAACTATTATGCATTATAACTTCGGGTGTCCATTATAACTACAACTAGTGTGAATGGCACGCGAACTGGAGAACTCTATGCAAAATAAACCCGGTTTTCTTCACCAAACTTGGCAAGGAATAAGCGGCCAAGAACTCATTTCGTTTCTCCCTTATCATCTGAATTTATCCCTGCTATCACTGCATCTGACGCTAGTCGTCATTGCTGAATAAGTTACTTTCCTACTTAATCTTTAACTTCGACACCCTTTTCACAGCGAAGACAAACTAAGGATTTAGATGCAATGCTGTTGAATTTTAAAATGCAGATTAATGATAACTGTATCTGACAATAAGTAAAATATTAAAAATATCGAAAAACAAATTTTATAATTAAGAGTAAAAAAATTGAAATTTGTATTGTTATATATGTTACCAAGTAGAGAGGAGAGTTTACTTCTGTTATAAGTATATAATTTTATGGAAATGCTTTTGTATTGTACAAAATATGCAAAAAGATAATAAAATATTATTATATTGGAGATGATTCCGAATACTAAATAATTACCTAATATTTTTATAATGCAATAATAAAATAATAGAAAATTGCCATTATTACTATTTTAGTCATCTATAATTTATATCTATGTATTAATATATTTATTTGTTAGAATAAATTAGAACTCGACATAATAAGGTAATGATATATAAAACAATGCAGTTTTTAATGAATGTGTAAATATTTCGTAATTATTCTCAACAACAGATTTTTGTAGAATCATTCTGTACTGTTTTGTAAATCGAAACATATTGTTGGAAATAGATGCTCGATTAATTATTATAATAATAATGTACCCACTCATACACCATATTTATTGTGCTGTTTATCCTGAAAACAATTATATATAAATATTAATTATAAAATAATAATTGTATTATTATTGTACAATTAGAATATAATTTAAGATTTGATTTTGAAAATGACCATACACGTAAAGTTTTCTCACGATATTTAACCATTTATTATCTCACAGCATAAGTTAATAGTTTATGGCTAGCATAAATGATCCTTTAGGCTTAAGAAGCGTTTATGCAAGCCGTAAACTTAACTCATAATCAATAAAGTTCAATATAATTTCAATGTTTCCGCTCATAATAATAACTTACAGGATATAACTTATGTCATAATCATAAAATTAATTTAAATTAAAGACTCTATTTTGTAACTCAACAATTGGTAACTATATTGTAATTACATCGTCATTTCACAGGTTTGTACATGGTAAAAAACCTGCGCAAAGAAAATTAATGTAACGATATTATTACAGTCGTAAAGAATTATAGAATAGGATCCTTAACTTTAACGACGAGTGGCAGCACATAAATCTGCGTAAATCATTGTATTGATAACTTACCGATTACTTATATAAGTTTACGGCCTGTATAAATGCTCCTTTGTTATACATACGATAGCAATTATCGCGACACTGTCACAGTTTTCCTTACTCGCGGTATCCACGTTAAATTATATACGTATTTATTTACTAGGTTATTTCGGAAAATTGCGAGCTCGAGATCTAAAACATAGTCGATCGAGTTTTGCTTTAATGCGTGAATATATCGGCGCTCATCGAGGCATAACTACATCGAATTGTAGGAAATGTGCTTCGATATATGCACAACTTCATATGTGCGTGCGCGAGTTGAAGCATTGTATAATAATAACCTCTATAATAAGATTTGGAACGCGTAAAAGCACACATATATGTATAGTATAAAGTGTGTTAACGATGTGAAAAATAACTGATATCGAAAAATGTGAACGGTCGCTTGTTCGCTCGAATTCATGATGGAATCCATACTCGAATAGTGAAATTCGATGGTCGAATCCATGCTTGAATTGATATGA